TGGTAGGACTGAAAAATAAATTATCGATATTTTTTATTTTTTAGTCGTCAGATTTATATTAAAAAATATCTGTTGTGCTTACTTTTTCAATCTGATATAATTTTGATCGGATCCAACGGTTAGAAACTGGCTGCTAGTAGGCCAACCTATCAAAGAAAATCTTAAAAATTATTGTATTGTTATTATTAATTAAGGATACTTGATAGAGAATTTCTCTAGTAGAACTGAAAAAAAATGAACTATGAGTAATTATTTATTTTTTAACCGTTAAATTTATATTAAAAATTATATATTTTACATATTTATCTAATATAATATAATTTTAATCAATTTTAACAGTAAAAAATTAACCCGATCTATCAAAGAAGGTCCCCTATTTAATAATAGAAAAATAAAGTTGTTATCTTCTAACGTTAATGTGTAGTTTGACAGTACATCAACGTGTAATTTAGTTGTACATTTACGATACAAATTGACAGTAACTGTCACCTAAATTACGTTTCCGGCCGGTACAATCATGATGCATTTAATAGTTTTCATTACCAAGAGTCCCTTGTAATATTGATATTATGGCCGTATTTGAAATTGATTTTATTTTTATTTTTTATGTTAAAAAATATAAAAAATAAAAATATTTTTAAAATAGTGTTTAGCGTAATAAAGATAAAAAATAAAAATAAAAATAATTTTTTAGTTTAGTATAAAATGAGAGAGAAATGAAAAATGACTTTTAGTCGTTTTTTATTTTTTGTTTTCGTTTTCTTCTCTCTCAAGCAGAGAAAAAGAGACAGAGACATTAATGGGTTTTTTATACTAAAAATAATCTCTTGTTAAAATTACCAAACGCATTTTTAAAAATGATTTCTGTCTGAGATTGAAAACGTTTTCATTTTCATTTTCATATAAAAATAAAATCATTTTAGAATGAGTTCCAAACGCGCCTTATATCCCTTTTATAAAGAAGTCTTAATTAGTATATATAAAAGAAGTGAAACATCAAAAGGGAGGGGCAAAATCGAAGTAACTTTCTGACCTCCTTTAGTAATATTGTATAATGTATGTCAAATACCTTTGGATTTTCTTAGGATTAGACTAAGGTAACTCCATTAATTTTCGTTCCACGTCCCAGTAGATTGTGAAATGGCTGTTGGGTTGGAATCGCCTAATCTTTTTTTTAATTAATTTCATTAGTGCTCTTAAATTTTGAGGTCTTTCTTACTTTTCCTTCAAAATTTTGAAAACTTTCACTTAATGCCTTGAATTTTGCATTTGTCTCATTTAAGCCTTTTTTTTTATAAGAATTGATGTTAAAATCAAACCAAAAAAGAGGTGGTTAAGTGTAGCTATATGGTTTTTATCCGTTTGTTTTTAACAAAAATTCAAACGGAAAGATCACATGATTGCATCACTCTCTTTTTTTAATATGTTTTTAACAAAAAGAGTTAAGTGAGAATAATTTAATGTTTATAGATTAAAATAAAAGTTTTTAAAATTTTAAAAAAACAAACTACGAATCACCCTAAAGTTCAAGTCGGGGGCACCAGTGATGATAATCAATTTTCTTTTAATTAGAAAAAAAAAAAAATCACTCTCTTTTTTTAATATGTTTTTAACAAAAAGAGTTAAGTGAGAACAATTTAATGTTTATAGATTAAAATAAAAGTTTTTAAAATTTTAAAAAAACAAACTACGAATCACCCTAAAGTTCAAGTCGGGGGCACCAGTGATGATAATCAATTTTCTTTTAATTAGAAAAAAAAAAAAAATATATATATATATATATATATGAAAACACAAAAGAGATTTCTCAAAAATATTATAGGAACTAACAAGGTAACTGTGTGAAAACACCAAAGAGAATATGACGTTTCTCAAAATTAGAAATGCTAACTCGCTAAGTTTCAAGAAGGAATGGTCCCCAAGGTCGTGCCTGCATGGCCAGTATGATGATCAGTCCAACGTGAACTCATATTCTTCTTTTTCAATAGAAAAAAAACAAACAAACAAAAGAAAAATGGTTGTCTTGTATTTCATTGCTAGTTATCATTGTATGTGCATGAAAATAATTTTTTTTTAAAACGGCTACAATATCATGATGACGTGAAAAGAAACAATCTATTTAAATAAACATAACAACTAGCTAGAAAAGGGGAATTCGACTTTTGTGTCTCTTTTTTTTTTTTTACTTAATATTCATATTCTATCAATAACATTATACCATATCAATTAAAATACCATATAAGATAAAAACATATTATATTCTTCTAAAAAAACATATATTATGTCAATTAAAATGCCACATAAGATAAAACATGTTTTGTGGCATTTTAATTGATATGAGATCGTTTAGTTCGTTGATTCGAGTTTTTAATTCGAATTGATATGTGATTTTATGTGAAAATTTTTTACTGTAATAAAAAAATTAAATGTAATTATTTCTGAAAATATTTTAGTGTAGCAAAACTCGAATTCATATAAAGCTATTTGGGTCATGAAAGGGTTAGGGAGAAGTTCAAGGCAAAAGGTACACTTTTTCTGAATTTTTTTAACTTGGAATTACTTTCCTGGTTTGATCTTTTTTTTTTATTATTATTTATTTGTTTTACAAACGTGTCGGAGAGTTTTCCTTGCACAAACCCTCCAATTTCCCTCAAGTACTTTTGGGAACTCATATAAATTAAGATTCAAGAATCAAGAGAGTATATTGAGATGGAGATCAATTTTCAACTTCAACAAATAGATTTTTAAAAAAAATAAAAAAAAGGTCTAACATGTTTGATACTTGTACTATTTTTTCCGGATCAAAATTAACAATGAGAGTTATAAAGTAATACTAGAGCTTGCAACGTACGTTGGGAGTGTGCTCTAAATGAAATTTAGCTCAGAACCGCTATTGATGATTATATATATTGATACAATAATATATTGTGGAACAATAAAACAAAATGCAAATGCTTCTCTCACCCCGACAAAGAAAAGGAAAAAAAAATCTAAATCTAAAGTAGCAAGAAAAACGGATCATATCAAAATCACACACACAAACAAATTTACAATGAAACAATGTCAATTATTATTTTTTTTTAGATTTTTGTGGTAGGGATATGTTGTTTGTTTGTCTGTTTGAATTGAAGAATGAAAAGTCAAAAAGTTCCTAACTCGTGAAAAGAGAGAAAATTCCTGAAGTGGAGAAATTTCAGAGGCACGTTGCAGCTTCAGAAAGTCGCCTTTGTAACTCGCCTTTACTAAACTCACAAAAACGTATTTTCGTCATGAAAACTAAAAAAAAATATTACAAAATTAAAAAGAAAAATTTTGAAGTGAGAAATTAAAAAGAGAGTTTTATTAATTTTGTGAAAGTATATAAAATGAAGAGTTTCAAAAGTTTTATTTATAAAAAAAAATTTAATATTATTTATGGTTATTATTTATATAGTACTTATTATTACGGTTACTATTTATACAATAAAATTTTAACATAAACTTTAATTGATTTACACAATAATTTTCATTGAGGTGATAGTTATTATTCATTGCAATTTTGTCTTTCTTTGAAATTCTTACAAAAATATCGAAGACCTTCATTTGATTTATTACTAAATTAGTAATGTTTGGTAGATAGATTTGTTCCCTGATTCGAATAATGATTCGTGGTTCGTTACAGTATTTTTTCTCACAAAAAATACACGTAAATAAAAAATAATTATAATCACATGGTTCTAATTCATGAACCAAACGTTTCTTTTCTTCTTTTTCATTTTTTATTCTTTTAGGGTATTCTCTCTCTGTCATCTGTAAACTATGTAATTATTATTTTCATCCCAAATTCTAATGTGACCTCAGGAATTTCGAATTCATCGTATCCAACAAAGCAAGTCATCATTGTTATATTAAAGCCTTTGCAAGCAATTACCCACTCTCCCTTCTAGAGAGGAAAAAGAAAAAGAGAGAAAAAATCTACCCACTATTTACTTATTTAGTTTTGTACCTTATTTAAAAAAAAAAAATTGTCTTTCTCAAAGTGTGATAGAAGAAATTAGAAAATATTCCTCTTTTAACTTACCTTTTACGTATTTTCCTCAAACTTCTCTCCCAAATTAATATATATAATAAAAGAAGTTGAAGATGGAAATTGTTTTTGTATTTCAAAAAAAACAAAGTTGGTGTTGTTTGAAATTGTTTTCAGTTGTTTTGGAAACGGTTCCGTACTCTACAGCTGAGAACAAAAATAAAAAATAATAAGAATAATTTTTTGTTAAGAAAATAGAAAATGATTAAAAACGATCTTCTCTTTTATATTTTCATTTTTCAAGTTATAACTTAATACATGTTTTTAAAAAACTCAAACACAATTTCACTTTTTTTATATTTAAAATAATATCAAAAAGAAATAACCAAACCTAAATTTAAAAATAATTTAAACATTATTCCTAAAAAATTCTCATTTCTATTTTCAAATTTAAAATAAAACCATTTGAAGACACTGGCGAACGGCTGACATTTCTCTCTCACTAAAGCAGCATTTCTCTAGATTCTCCAATATAATAAAGAATTCTTTAATATATATATATATATAAAAATAAAAATAAATAAATAAACGCCTTGATTGAGATTCGACGATTCGTGTCTAAAGACCCACGAAGAGCTTGAACCAATCAATTGACTTTTTTACTATAAATATATCCAAGGTAGTTTTTCTCACAAGAAAGTGGGAGAAAAAACCGTTTGACCATTACCCACATATTCTTCTCTTCCTTCTCCATATCAGCCGGCGGCGCCACCACCACCCACCACCATCATCGACAACACCTCCATCTCCGTGTGGGTCTCAATTCAAAATTAAAAAATAAACCCTCAGTTTCTTCAAAAACACCTGCTAAAAACACACTTCTCTTTTCTTTCTTCTGCCAAAACAAAACATTCTTTAATTACTACGTCTTGAATGAACATGTGCATGGAGACAACACCACCCATATATAACACCATATTGTCATATATTTTATTATAATCTTTTTCTGTTTATCCTCATCATAATTATCAATATTATAAGCTGGTTATGGCGGCGAATAACATTGTGAAGGAGATCCTGGCGAGGCCTATACAATTGGCGGACCAGGTGACGAAGACGGCGGAGGACGCGCACTCCTTCAAGCAGGACTGCATGGAGCTGAAGGCGAAGACGGAGAAGCTGGCGGGTCTTCTCCGGCAGGCTGCGAGGGCGAGCAGCGACCTCTATGAGCGCCCGACCCGCCGCATAATCGACGACACCGAGCAGGCCCTCGACAAGGCCCTGGCGCTCGTCATCAAGTGCCGCGCCAACGGCATTATGAAGCGCGTCTTCACCATCATCCCTGCAGCCGCCTTCCGCAAGAACTCGACTCAGCTCGAGAACTCCATCGGTGACGTCTCGTGGCTCCTCCGCGTCTCCGCCTCCGCCGACGAACGCGACGACGAGTACTTAGGCCTCCCTCCGATCGCCGCCAACGAGCCAATCCTCTGCCTGATATGGGAGCAGGTCGCGATTCTCTTCACGGGCTCGTTGGACGAGCGATCCGACGCGGCTGCTTCGTTGGTGTCCTTGGCCCGGGACAACGACCGTTACGGCAAGCTCATAATTGAGGAAGGCGGGGTCGCTCAGCTTCTTAAATTGGCGAAAGAAGGAAAAATGGAAGGTCAGGAGAATGCGGCGAGAGCGATCGGGCTGCTTGGACGGGACCCAGAAAGCGTTGAACACATTGTGAATGCCGGGGTATGCTCGGTGTTCGCGAAAATCCTCAAAGAAGGTCATATGAAGGTTCAGGCTGTTGTGGCTTTGGGTGTTTTGGGATTAACCGAACACATTGTGAATGCCGGGGTATGCTCGGTGTTCGCGAAAATCCTCAAAGAAGGTCATATGAAGGTTCAGGCTGTTGTGGCTTGGGCTGTTTCGGAATTAACCGCAAATCATCCGAAATGCCAAGACCACTTTGCGCAAAACAATGCAATTAGGCTTCTCGTCAGCCATCTCGCCTTCGAGACGATTGAGGAACATAGTAAGTACGCCATTGTTAGCAAGCAGCAGATGTCTATTCATTCCGTTGTGATGGCGAGTAATAGTACTAGTACAGATAATCAGGAACAGAACAACCGGAGAGGAAACGACGAGGAGGATAAGCAGATTTCGCATCCGATGGGGAACCAAGCCCCGAGTCAGATGCACAACGTTGTGACCAACACTCTGGCCATGAGAAGCCAGAGTAGTACTAGGCCACCCGCCGCGCCACAGAATCAGGCGGCGAATCACCATTCTCACCATGGCAAGAGCAATCATCAGACAGGCATAGGGAAACAGCAAAACCATCAGAACCACACGCCGGTTTCGCTAGCAGGGGCGAGTATTAAAGGGAGGGAATTCGAGGATCCTGCAACCAAGGCAGAGATGAAGGCTATGGCCGCGAGAGCTCTTTGGCAGCTTTCGAGAGGAAATGTCGCGGTTTGCCGCAGCATCACGGAGTCTAGAGCGCTCTTGTGCTTCGCGGTTTTGCTAGAGAAAGGTCCAGACGATGTCCAATCTTACTCGGCTATGGCTTTGATGGAGATCACAGCTGTGGCTGAGCAAAACTCTGATTTGAGACGCTCTGCTTTCAAGCCTACCTCCCCTGCTGCCAAAGCAGTGGTTGAGCAATTGCTGAAGATCATTGAAAAGGCAGATTCCGAACTCCTCATTCCCTCTATCAAGGCCATAGGCAACATCGCGAGGACTTTTCGAGCCACCGAAACGAGGATGATCGGACCGTTGGTGAAGCTTCTCGACGAGAGGGAACCGGAGGTTACAATGGAGGCTGTGATTGCACTTAGCAAGTTTGCTTGCACCGAAAACTTTCTTCATGTCAATCATAGTAAAGCCATCATAGATGGAGGAGGGACTAAGCATCTGATTCAACTTGTTTATTTCGGAGAACAAATGATTCAGATTCCTGCCCTTATTCTCTTGTGTTACATTTCGTTACATGTTCCGGACAGTGAAATTCTTGCTCAAGAAGAGGTGCTTATAGTGCTAGAATGGTCAACAAAGCAGGCTCATCTTGTTGAAGAGCCAGCTTTTGAAGCTCTTTTACCGGAAGCTAAAAGTAGGTTGGAACTTTATCAGTCTAGAGGCTCCAGAGGTTTCCATTGATCTAACCCCAACTTGTACAATCATAATGTTTGTCTTCTTTATCAGAGTTTCAATTATTTTTCTTTCTTCTTACGTTTTCTGATTAACTGATGTGTACATAAAATCGCGTTGATTTGATCCTTATCGTCACTGCAAGTAACTTGCTTCAAGAGTTTCTATTCTAATTGTTCATTATTTCTTTCTTCCTTAATTTCTATTTGTTCTAATTGTTCGTTATTTCTTTCTTTGGATGAATAGCAATCTTCCTTAATTTCTTTCTTCCCCCTTTTCTTGGCTTGAATATTGTGAAATCAGCTGGTCATATAGTTTAAGATTTTACTTAAGATTTTACTTTTTTTATTTCTAACAATTCAAATTGTTGTCAGCAGTCTAATAGTTTAAGATTTTACTTTTTTTTCTCTCCAATTGCAATTTTAAAAATGTCATAATTTCTTCATTTTACTTCCGACTAAAATGAGTTTTAATGTATTTATAGTGAAGAGAGAACCAAATCCCTACCTATGTTGCATATTTTTTAATGTTATTTATAATGAGATTTTATAAATTTGTTACAAAACTCTAACGACAGTTTTCAACACTTTATCTAAACACAGTTTGAATTTTATTTTCAATTCAAATTATAATTTATTTATATATCTAAACAACAGTTTGGATCATAAATTAAATCACTACAGTTCAGATTCTATAGTTATAATAAAAAAAATGTTCAAATCTTCACAATTTGAATTGTTAAACTAACAAGTCATAGATCGTTTTCATTTTTCCTGAATGGTCGTATATATTGGATCTAATACAACACAAAAGAGTGGACAGAAACAAGTTTGGGGATCGAAATTACTAGATCTGTGTGGAACAGATGGTGTTGTGTGGTGGGGATAATGGCCATGCATTTTTCATGGGTTAGGCAATTTTCAGGGATTGCATGCAAACACCATTCCATAAATGCTTGAAAGAAACTAGTCTCTTAAGCCTGCCCATACGACCGAAAAACTCAATGATGGTTTTAAAGCATGAACAGACGAGGAGTACTATAATGTACTGTACGAACGCTGAATCTCAGAAGATGCTTTCTTGTAATTTGTCAGCGGTTTGGAAATATTTGGACGTAGCTATAGATTAATGTCCCATTTATTTCACCTATTTAAGTTTATAATTTAAGTTTTATTTTAATAAAAAAATTTTTAAAAATAATCACATTTAATTTTTTTACTATAATAAAAATTTCTCACATTAAATCACATCTCAATTCGAATCGACAAATTAAACGGTTGATAACATGATGGTTGGGATTTTTTTTTTTTTCAGTACGAGAATTCTATATTAGGGATAATAATCCTATCAGCAGCGCAAAATTATGAATCGTTATAAATGCTTGTTAAGTTCATTGAATTATCACATTTATTTTAACGATTTATAATTATATTCTATAATTAAATATGTTAAAGATATTGCGCCGGTTCATTATTAATCTGGAGCATGTGTGCTACATGTCATACTAGTATTGACCCATTTAAACTTCATGGCACACTCGTGCCAACTCAAGATTACAAATTTTAGGCCCGACGTGATACATAGGCCCAATCACATCTCATTCTTGTACCTATATCGTGCTTGGTGTGATGTCCTTCAACCCTTTGAAATGGTTTTTGTATTGTAAAAAAAAAAAAAAAAAAAAAAAAAAAAAAAAAAAAAAAAAAAAAAAAAAATTTTAAAAACACACATATATATATATATATATATTTTTTTTTTTTTCTTTGAGGAATCTGTATTGGATTAATTCTCCCTTTCTTTATTAAGTATCTATTCTTATTACTTATGCTCCTCCTTCCTTTTGGGAGAAATTCCAGATATATATATATATATATATAGTTTTTTTTTTTTTTACAACGAAGCCTTCTTGTTTAATTCGCCTATGTGTTGTTGTCTTTTTGTAACAAGTTCGGCTACTTCGATAAGTTCGATTAGCATCATTTTACCGCTCAACTTAAAACAGTTCTTCACGGAAAGGCCAATCATATTTTGTATCAATGATCAAAAGAACAACTGAATGCAGAAAAGTAGAAACAAAAATAGAGTTTCTTAATTTATATTGACCTTTTGTTATTTCACCTTGTGATGTTTAACTAATTTCCGTTAGAAAGAAAAGCCTGGTTGTACAACCTCTTAAGAGTCTTGATTCACGAAAAACGTCTTTTATAGCTTCGAGTTTAGAATTCAAGTTTTGCTACAGTAAAAAGCTCTCAGAAACAGTCACATTTAACTTTTTTACTACAGTAAAAAGCTCTCACATCTCAACTTAAATTAAAAATTTGAATCAACGAACTAAACGGGTTTATATAGACAATGTTAAACTGTGAGTTAAGAATGACCCGTTAACTTGGTTTAACCCATTAAAATCCATATTCCATACTTAACTATAAAAAAATAAAAAATAATAAAAAAAAGAACGACTCGTTAATTGATTCAGGTATGGTAAGTACACTACCCTTATTCACCGGTTGGAAATGATAGGGTTATATGTAATGTGTATGCTAATTAAAGCACGGTAGAACGATAGAGGATTTTTCAAATATGAATTCAGTTTTTAATTATGTACATTAAGGGATTGTTTAGACGAGAGATTCGTACTCCGATTTGAATCATAGTTCATGATTCGCTACAGTATTTTTTTTCATAAAAATACACGTAAATAAAAAATGGTTCTAATCCATGAACCAAACGTCTCATAAGTTTGAAAAAGTTGTAATACGAGACTTTTCTTTTTGTTGGTTGAAAAGCATTCCATTAACAAGAAAGGAAGAACGAAAGAAAATAAATCAAAGGGAGTACTAACAATTTTACCTAACAAATAAGTGGGGGACGAAAGACCATATTGATTAAGACTCCGTTCATTTCACCGATTCGAATTTAAAATTTGAGTTTTATTACAGTAAAAAGCTCTTAGAAACAATCACATTTAACTTTTTTACTCTAGTAAAAAATTCTCATATAAAATCACATCTCAATCTAAATTAAAAATTTAAATCAGTGAACTAAACAAACTCTAAACTTATAAGTAAGGATATTGTCAGTCTTTCTCTTCCGGTCAGAAGAGAAGGATTAAAGATATACTCGAGATTCGCTTGATCCTTGATGAACTCCACTTCCCAATTAGAGAACTCCTTTGCCAACGCCTCCACCACCACTTTCACGTCTCCTACAGTATTGATTGGTTTGACAACTTCCAACCTGCCAGCAATCTCGACACACAACAGCAGGACTAGTTTAGTGGATAAGAAAAACGGGATATCGATATTACCTTTTTATCCGAGAAAAAAGGGTACGCGACAATTAAAAGTCCGTTTAATTAGTTGATTTAAATTTTTAATTTAAATTAATATATATTTTTAAAATTTTTTTATTATAATAAAATTTAAAATTTAAATTTAAATTAATGAAAAAAATTATGTTAATTAATTAACTTGTAAATAAAAGTGGAATAAGAAAAGAAAATGATGGACGGCGATGATGATGATCAGATCAGGGCCAGGCCCATCTCCTTTTGTTTTTGACTAAAACGAATAAAAAAAATGTCCAGCAACACTCGCAATTAAACTCATTGAAAGAGAATGCAGTGAAAAAAGGGAGAAAAATAAACACAACATGTAGGTCCAACACTTATCTGCCTCATCTATTATGAGTAATGGTGTTGGGCATGATGTTTTTAACTCGCATGTTGCTGTTTTATAAAAAGTGGATTTTCCTTCGCGTACTTGCCCAAAATGTTCATTAAATTACAGTTGGTTTCATTTAATTCCTTCAGAAAACTCGTTCCATTTGTCCCCCAATACTAATTTCAGACCGTTGCAAAACCCAAAGTTTTGAAAATTTTCCACCTTTGAGACATGACTGACTCTGTGCCGTGTGGTCCTCCTGCCAACCATCAGTTGCTCTTTGTGGATAATGTTAAAACCATTTAAAAGCAAGGCGTGTCATATGGTTCAACTCTGTTGCCTATTTTCAGCTATGAATTCTGATGGGTGCAAAAGAGATGGATTTGAGAGAGTTTGCCATTCAAGATGGCATTTTTCCGGTGGGGACAGTAATAGACTGGGGACATACAACTTCTTATTCACGAGCCGGTTGAGGTCGAGGTCGACAAACACTGATCTTAGGAGTTGTTTGGTTGGAGGATTCGTGCCCCGATTCGAATCATGGTTCGTAATTCGTTACAGTATTTTCTCTCATAAAAAATACACGTAAATAAAAAATTATTCTAATCTCATGATTCTAATCCATCAACCAAACGTCTCCTTAGTTTTGATTTACATTTATTGTGAAAAAAAAATGCATAAATTTTTTTAAAAAATATATATTTAATAGTAAACTTAATCCTACGTTGTTTTCTATATAGTTAGACATTTGGTTTGTTTTGTGAGAATATGAAATTAAGATGAATTTGAAATTAAATATTAAAGCAAGATTATAGAAACGGACTTAGGCATACACCAAATTAAGGGACGCTGAAACCACTCGTCCTTAAACGGCATGTCGTTTGGTTGGTCATTTGCAAACGATATCACATAAAGACCGCGTGTCGTGCAATAATGACAAAGGGGAATGGTTCGTGCAATAATAAACTCGTGAAAATGGCACCTCCTAAGAAGCAAAGAAACACCTCATATCAAACGACGTAGCAAAAGCAAAATCATACAAAAGGACGTCGTACGTGACGGGATTTAGGGAGCATAAATGACATCTGAAAATATGACAGACATATCCTTTATATATATATATATATATGCATTTCTATATGCAAACTTTTTTTGCTGAAAGTAATCCCGCTAATTAACAAAGCAGAAGCAGCGCGATGGAAGAAACAATATCTCATAAAACGACAAGCCGTACATAAACGCATTACATGAGAAACGTTGTTACGAACTGAATACGACAAGTCGTGACAGAACAATATGTCGCAAAAACATGGCACGTAGAATAACTAGCGACTTATATCTAACAGTCGAAT